CATTCACACAAAGCGTGAAATGTAGATAAAGTCAGTTTCTCTCAGATAAACAGATTCAGGAGCAGCTTGTTTTAGTGGCAACAAACCTGTTGAGCAGAAACCTGCTAACAACTGAAGGTTATCAAAGTCCAAAGGAGACAAACTGCTTTGTTTCTCTGAAGTCATCTGACCTTAAAGTGGGAGGATCTCTGATATCACGATGGTGTTCCTCCACCTTCCTGCTGTTTAACACTAAACCACCACACTTACTGACTGATGGGTAACACAGGTAGGACTTTCTCGTTTTGACGATTTACAGAACTTAGAAACATCAGTTTAATATTAATTCTGTGGGAAGATGTTCCAGAAATTATTTGTGAGCTATTGTACAACTATGAGCCATCAGCTGTTTGAGCCACAACAGAAAACAGGAAGCAGACAAGTGATGATTCTAAAAGATCCATGCATGTGGCTATTTGGGGGGAAATTAAAGATGCAGAGTTCTGGTGTCTGACTGGATAAAGTAGAGTTTTGTCAGAAGTTTAATTTCATCTGGTGACAACAAGGAAAAATCCTGATGGTTGTCCATAAATGTTCTTATTGTAACTTCATGACATTATTCAACCCTCAGAAATTCCTGCTACATGTGGCATCAGGACTTTCAGGATGTACTTTGTTTTCCACTTATCCAGCTGTACATGATTCTCATTGACTGCTGTTCATTTCAGGTCTTCTTCCCTACAAACTGTAGGATGCTACAGGGGTGTGTTTTGAGCCTTTATTGCTTTTTTTTCCTGCCATGTCTGCACTCCCTTCAATATATCTATTATTTTGATGCCAAATTATGTTTTTATGGTATACATATTGCTCAGGAGTTCAGATATTTTATTAGAAATACAAGAAAGACAGTGAACTCAAAATAGACTGGCAACTAGGAAATAATGTCAAACATCCATCCATCCATTTTCTATACCGCTTATTTCTCACAGGGTTTTGGGGGGGCTGGATTCTATTCTGGTGGACAACAAACGATTCACCCCAGAGAAGTCATTCCATCACAGAAACACGCAGAGACACACAACCACATTCGCTCCTAGGGGCACTTAGTGTCCTAACAAGCATGTTTTGGATTGTGGGAGGAAGCCACACAGACAGAGTTAAAAATGTAAACTCCACACAGAAAGGTCTTTATTCCACCAGGGATTTGAACCAGGAACCCTTTTTGAAAGCAACACAGAATTTCTGAATTGCTGTTTCTTTATCTCTGTTACTAACATACTCCCCCTCACTTTAATAAGGCCACCGATCACATGCTGTCCAATGGTTATGATGAGACACTGTGAGAGCATGATTAACAAGTTTTTGATTTTCATGAATTATTTTCTTTTCAGTGGCGGCTGGTGAAAAAACATCCTGGTGGGGCTGGTGTGCCAATAGATTTCCCTGCCTAACCCAGTACATGCATTCAAGTTAAAAGTTGGAAAATGACTACAATTCCACAATAAGAATCTAATTCCCTTATCAGGATCAGCAGTTTACATATACAGTTAACCATTTACAGCTATATTAGGTCTTATTTTGGAAAGGAACAGTATGAAATACAACACTCAGTTTCACTATTTGTCACCAAACACACAAAGTAGCACACAGGTGGTTAGCTTAGCACGGTTAGCTTAACACGGTTAGCTTAACACAGTTTTCCATATGAACTCTTTATCTTTCATGTTTCTTAATGGTTCAGAGAGGTGTTTTAAGTCTGTCTGTCCAGACTGTGTCCACGTCAAATCACTCTGATCACTTTTAAAAGGATGCAGTGAAAACAAAATAGTTCATGGTCGTCCCACAGGCTGTCAGCCAGGACTTAGGCTGGAACCAACTCCTGCTAAAAGGCCGGCTGTAGGACTTAGCTTTTTCATTGGCCTGCTTAAATTTGTCAGGTCCCAGCTCCTTTACATGGATATTTTCCACCATCGTCCTTCTCACGAAAGGAGAACTCAGTAAAGATCTCACTGAACTGTGTGAAAGCTGCTCTTCATAATGTCCATCTCACAGCCTGACTGACCACTAGCTACATCACCTGTATCACTGTAGCACGGGAAACAGTTCCAGGAGCCCCAAAGCCATTCATTTTGGCCATGCTGATTGGCCAAATATTTATTAATCTTCCCTAGCAACATTATTCAATTGGTTATTTCACTGAAATTATACGTTCTGTGGGTGGAAATGCTCCGTTGAATGAGAGCCAATTGGTGGAAGTGTTGTTTTAATAATTCATATTACATGTAGCCACACACTATTAGGTTAAACTGACATTGATAATACTTTTAAAATATATATATATTATGACTTTCCCCCTCCACATCTGGGGGGACAGCGCCCGAGCGCCCCCTATAGGCCAGCCGCCACTGCCTGAAGCCCATTACAAATTACTTCTGGTGCTGTTATAATTCTGCATAAATCATGGCATCAAACCAAAAGGTACACACACCTTTAATGTTGATTAATGTCATCATGTGTTAGAACAGTGTTTTTCAACCTTTTTTGAGCCAAGGTACAGTTTTTCATTGAAAAAAATCTCGAGGCACACCACCATCCAAAAATGTTAAACAAATCTGTATCCGCCTATACATAGTAACACTATAGTTACTCTTATTTTACTCTTATCTTATCTTAAGTGTCTTGAATAGGAATCAAATAAACACAAAAATGTATTTTTATCATATTTTATATTTCTTCTTTCAAATTGCACTTAACATGTCCACTTCAATATGCAAAATTATATACAAAATCTAGTCATAAGGAATTATTACATGATTACGCCACCAGTCACTAGAACAGCACAGACACTCAAAAATGGCATATTATTTGCAGAAAATTATCCCCAAATTATTTTAGACCAATTAGGTGAAATAGGATGATTTTCTACGGCACACCTGGCCATCACTCGCGGCACACTAGTGTACCGAGGCACAGTGGTTGAAAAACACTGTGTTAGAATAACAAGCACCTATCGGTGCCCTCACATCACTGCTCCACTGTGAGAAAACAAAGAGCTGCTGCACAGCTGGTGGGAATGGGAGTACAGGAGGATCTCTGGTTAAACCAGCTCTGCTCATTGGTTGGGACTCAGGAGGCCTCTGATTTAAGGTGTGCAGGACCTGAATGAGGATCTACTCCAACACACTGAGTGGAATAGAGACTTAAAACATGAGGGAACATTAGTAAATGACACAAAGCTGATCTCCAGGTAGCAACATCAGACATCAGATATGTCTGCCTGTCTGGATGAAGCTATTTGATCAGGAATCAGTCAGATTGGTTCATTCACCTGCTTTTCTTTTTCTGTCCTTCAGATAAAGAAACAGTTACTTTCTCCAGAGTGTCTCATGGAGCTTCCTTTGAAGCTGATCAGCAGCTGCTGGATCAACTCAATGAATCTCCTCATTTCCAGCTGGAAGAAGCAGATCTGAATGACTGTCAGATTATTTTTGTGTTCTGTATCATCAACACTCGCATAGAGTCAGACGTGAAGGCTGCCATGGAACAAATCCCAGGTAATATGAGGATAAAACTTTATTTAAAAACATTTATATCATCAACATGTGATTTGGTTTGATTATAGGATTTAAATCTATGATCAAACCAAACTATGAAACAAAATGCTTCACATCCAGCAGCAAAACTGGTCTCTAAAACTACTGAATAGTTTTTGCATTGTGAGAACATAATAACATTAATGTCTTCTAATCATCCTCCCTGAGCCTTTAAAGTGAATTTCTAACTTTCTTTTTCTCTGCTTTAATCTCAGAACCAGCTGGTGATAAACCTGTAATTCTTGTTGTGATGCACCACATCAGAGACATCGACTTTACAACAACAAAGAAGAAATGGAAGGAAAAATATGAACGAGTTCAGCTTGATGTGGAAGTTCTCTTTCACAGGACTGAAGGAGGCTTACTGAGATGTGAGAAGAACAAACAGGCTCTTGAACAAATAAGAAAAAATGTTCAAATAAGAAATAAAGTAGATCAGAAATGGTCGAACGAAGGGCAGAAAAGAGGGACTGAGAGGGGAGGAAATGAGAAGAAAAAAAAAAGAGGAAAGAAAGAGGGAGGGACATGGGGTTACATGTCTTTTTTTTGTTCACTGCTTTTTTTTGTAGGCCTTTCTGTCTTGTTCCACTTCCTCCCGTTTGATTACCTGACTCCTTAATCACCTCCACCTGTGCCTCATTGTTTTCTTCCCTGACTTGTGTATATATTATGGTCTGTCTATTGTTTGTTGCGTGATCATAGTCGTCATTTTTGTCAGTCGTTCAAGCATTGTTCTAGTTTTGTCTTGCCTAGTGATCCTGACCTTTACCTGACATCTTTTGTACTGTCTGATTATTTTTGTCTGTATGTGTACCAACCATTTTCGAATAAACAAGTGTGATATGGGATATCCTTGCCTGGAGTCGTGGATTTCAGTCCTAGTGTTCCCAGTGTGATGGGGAGGAGGAAAGGAGAAGGAAAAGAAGATAGGAGGACTAGCTCCTTGAGACACTCTGGAGAAAGTAACTGTTTTTATACCTGAAAGACAAAAAAAGAAAAGCAGGTGAATGAACCAATCTGACTGAATCCTGATCAAACAGCTTCATCCAGACAGGCAGACATATCTGATGGTCAGACTAGCAGGTTGCTACCTGGAGATCAGCTTTGTGTCATTTACTAATGTTCCCTCATGTTTTAAGTCTCTATTCCACTCAGTGTGTTGGAGTAGATCCTCATTCAGGTCCTGCACACCTTAAATCAGAGGCCTGAGTCCCAACCAATGAGCAGAGCTGGTTTAACCAGAGATGCTCCTGTACTCCCATCCCCACCAGCTGTGCAGCAGCTCTTTGTTTTCTTACAGTGGAGCAGTGGTGTGAGGGCACCGATAAATCACTCTAACACATGATTTCATTAATCAACATTAAAGGTGTGTGTACCTTGTGGTTTGATTTATGCAAAATTGCATCAGCACTGGAAATCATTCATGACGGGCTTCAGGTGACAGGTTTTGTTTATGTGCCGCTTTTTTAACATAGACTTTTTCTGTAAAAAAAAACATAATGCATGTCGAGAGAATCAAAAACACCCCACAGCATCACTCTGCTCTCAGAATGCTGAGCTAATTGTTTCGTGACTCTATTAATACACTGAGCTTTTAGTTTTAAGGCTTCCCCCCTGTGGGGGTGGGTAACAATTACATTTTTTCTCATAAAAAGAAAAACTTACCCCCTTGAACAGCTCGTTTTCAATGGGTGGTTGTTATAATGTGCTTTTGATTTTTCATATTATTTGAAAATAGCTCTGCATTTCTCATGTCTGCACGCAGCTTAGAGGGAACATTGATCAGCATCACCCTCCACAAAATGCTATCTCTAGTTGCTGCTGTCTCTAAAACACTAAGACACTGAGCTTGGTGTCTGATGCATAAACAGCTGAGCCATCAGCAGGTGGCACAGGTGGAAGGTCCTGGCAGCCCAGAAAAATACAGATCAAACTCACAAGACTTTGATAGATTCAAACCAAATGAAACCAAGCAAAGTGAGCTTCTCGAATCTAGATTGAGTTGAAGTACAATGAAATTCCACAGTTCATGCCTTTGGTTTCCAGTCCCCTTGAAATTTCAGTGTGTTTTTATGTTGTCTTCAGAATTTCAATTGAACTAAATCCAATTTACGAAGCTACAAACATTGTCTTTCGGCACTTCAAAGATAGAATGAATTGTAATACAATCACTGTTGGTTCTTTTGTAGTGGGTCTAGGCCAGGGGTGCTCAATACGTCGATCGCGATCTACCAGTCGATCTCCAAGCTACTATCGGTAGATCGCATGACAAGGTGAGGTGACACTGTCATGAACTGACGCTATACAAATAAAGTTCAGTTGTTTTGAATAAAAACTAGACGTCAGCCTATCAGCCGTCCCTGAGCGCCCCTGAGCGCAGCAAAGCTAACAAGCTAGTCGGTAGCCACATCCTAATTTTTCACTCTTTTTTTTCCTCTTAAACGTAAGATAAGTTATGAAAATGAGTGGGGGAGCTGGACCAAGTAAGAAGAAGAAAACGTATCACTTTCATACTGAATGGGAGGAGTCATCAGAGTGAACTCAGGTAATGGCAAAAAATTTATATAATTATGTTGTGTTGTGCAACATATGTGGTTATACATCCATATGTGGTTATACATCAACATAAGTTGTAAGAATCCTAAATATATTTCTCAATAAATATAATGGTTAGATCATTTTGACTTGGTCATTTCAAAAGTAGCTCCCATGCTGAAAAGGTGTGAGCACCTAGGGCATCTGATTAGGATGCCTCCTGGTCGCCTCCCTGGTGAGGGGAAATGACAAACCTGGGGTCTCTCTGTACAAGGGACTAACCCTGACCATAAAGGGACAATAACCCTAACCCACTGGTTATGGTGAGAGACGATCCAGCATCTGACTGAGGAAGCAGCTTCCTTCATCAGCCTCTTATGAGTCCTATGTTGTCTGATCCAACTGTGCAATGTGTGATGTCTGAACTCTGAACTTCAAACTAAGACCGGAGCAGATCAACTAAAAATGTGACAGAACTCTTTCTTTGAGAGATTTTGCTTGTTTGCTGTTAATGTGTTTCTAAAGTTTTATGAATACTTGATGCTTCTGTTGTTCTGCAACAAACTGAACAAAAGAGGAAAAGCGCAACCAAGAAAAATACCACAGGGTGTGTCCGTTCATCACTTGCGTGAGAGCTGTGTTGTTACTGTGTTTATCTACGGTTTTGACAAATGAATCATAGATCTACAATCCAACATTCACACAAAGCGTGAAATGTAGATAAAGTCAGTTTCTCTCAGATGAACAGATTCAGGAGCAGCTTCTTTAAATAGCAACAAACCTGTTGAGCAGAAACCTGTAACAACTGAAGGTTATTAAAGTCCAAAAGGGACAAACTGCTTTGTTTCTCTGAAGTCATCTGACCTTAAAGTGGGAGGATCTCTGATATCATGATGGTGTTCCTCCACCTTCCTGCTGTTTAACACTGAACAACCACACTTACTGACTGATGGGTAACGCAGGTAGGACTTTCTCTGTTTGACTATTTACAGAACTTAGAAAATCCGTTTAGGATTAATTCTATCTGAAGATGCTCCCAGAAATTATTTTTGAGCTATTGTACAACTATGAGCCATCAGCTGTTTGAGCTGTAACAGGAAAACAGGAAATAGAGTTCAATGTCTGACGAGTGATGATACCAAAAGAAACATGCAGGCAGCTAGTTGCGGAAACTTAAAGATGCAGAGTTCTGGTGTTCTGGTGAATTTTTTTTTTATCTGGTCACAATGTGGAAAAATCCTGATGGTTGTCCATGAATGTTCTTTTCTCTCAGCATAACTTCATGACATTATTCAATCTTCAGAAATTCCTGATACAGGTAGCATTAGGACTTTCAGGATAGACTTTGGATGGTTTTCCTCTTCCAGTGGGACTTGATTCTCTGTCCAAACCCCCTTCAGCATATCTATTTCTTTGAAACTCAGTGATGTTTTTAGGGTATAGATATTGATCAGGAGCTTAGATTATTTTTTTAGAAAGAGAAGAAACATTGGGAACTTTAAACAGTCTGGGAACAAAGAAACATGTCAAACATCCATCAAGTCATTTTCTATAGTACTCATGCAGTGACTGTGCAAACCTTGACATGGATCCGACATGAATTAGGGATTCTTAATCGTTTTACATGTTTTTCTCTGTTAGTTTGCTGCTGTTTTGGGAGGGGAGAATCCAACACTTCTGAAGGTGAGATCCATTTCTGCAGAAAACAAAAGACATGAACTGACTGAAGTATTTATCAACACAACAAACAGGAAATTAGAAGTAAGGAAAAATAGAAAAGATCCATAAAAAAACATTTTTTACTAGAAAAACCAAAAACAGCCCACAAAAACCAAAAACCCTGAATTTCTTAATTTCTGTCACTGTCACTGGCAACAATGCATGAAACAAATATTTGAATATAATGAACATTTCACTTAATCATACATCTTGCTCCGCATTGCAGATCTATTGATAACCAGTGCTGCTCATCCGTCTGGGGAGGGAACACCTAAACAGGATCTACATGTGAGAATAAATCCACAATCAATGTATTTATAAAGCTCTAAATCACATCAGATTTAATCTCAGGCACTCCAAAGACATTTTCCTATTCAAGCAAATTAGAATATAATCTGTTGAATAAATAATCGAAACCTAATCAGTTCAAGTCCCTTAACCCTTAATATCCTGATCCAAGTAAAAATAGACAATAGTCAATTTTCCGAGTCCGATATTCCGGTATTTTATTTGGCAGAAATATTCTTGACTATTCATAATTTATTACTCTGTGATTAGTTAAATTTATTGTCTGTAGTCTTCTGCCCGCTGTTATCAGGTCTATCTGATTGTGTGCAAAGGGGTTTGGGGCAAAGTTTTTACCATTAAATGATGCAAAAGATAACCGTGTCCATCGGATATGAAACATGTGGTGTTACAGGATTGAACACCAAATGAGTCAAATTAATCTAGAGATAATAAAACAGAATACTCTGAAAGGAAACCAGCAGAGAGTTAGGAAGATTTCTGATTAACCACTTTCCATCCTAAGACAGAACCAGGTACAAACCTCCATTAGCCCCCTAGCAGTCTGGGCCTATAGAGGGAAGAGAGTTGCATCCCCAGAAAAGCTATTGAGTGTTTTAGGGTCCCTGAGCATCTGTAACTATTAGCTTCATCAGAAAGGAAAGTCTGTAGCCTAATCCTAAAGGTAGAGGGGGGGCTCTGCTTCCTGAAGGCAGCAGAAAAGAGGACAGGAAGAAGTGGAGGAAAAACCAGAACAATATGGAACCGAGGGACTGTTAACAAACAGGATCTTAAACAGAAACCAGGAAGAAAAACTAAGATGGAAACAAAGGATGAACAAAGAAAAAAACATAAGACAAAACAATGATATAAAACACAAACCAAAAATCACCAAAAAAACACTTTCTGATGTTGATAGTAAACATAATTAACCCTAACCATAATTAACCATAATTTTTTCTGAATTTAAACCCCTTGTTCCCTGTCTAACCTGAAGGCCCGGCTACGTGCAGACATAGAGAGACTGCAACGTTTGCTGCCACCAGATCTGATTGAAGGTATCCTCATGATTAGTTCATTCTAGCCTCTCTGCTCCTCTGAGGAACAGAGAGAAGCTTTCTGCCTCATCAGCCTGTTCAGTGACTGACTTAAATACTACTGGAGCTGGATTGAGTCATGGAAACTAAAAGCTCCGTCTCCTAATGGAGTCCCAATACTTCTGGGTTACTTGTGGGATACTTCTGAGCTCAGCATGCTTGGAGCAGAGTGATGCTGTGGGGTGATGGGGAATAGTGGGTTCTTTGAGGTCATTCAGACATGAGAGATGTGGCTCTTATTGGTGCTGTTCAGCAGCCCAGCTGCTGTGTTTTGATAAGCTTCATCCTAATGGAATATATTGACCAGCAAAAGGGGCTTTACAGTCATGATGGTGTAGCTTCTTTATCAATGTTATTTGAAGAAGCCCACCAATCACATGCTACCCAATGGTTATGATGAGACACTGAGCATTGTTAACAAGTTTTTGATTCTCTTAATGTGCTTTATGTTCTTTCTACAGATTTTGACAAAGTGGTACACAAACAGAACCTATCAAACGAAGCCCATCATGAATTACTTCTAATGCTGATGAAATTTTGCAAAAATCATGGCATCAAACCAACAGGTACACACACCTTTAATTGATTAATGACATCATGTGTTAGAATAAGAACCATCTATCGGTGCCCTCACATCACTGCTCCACTGTAAGAAAACAAAGAGCTGCTGCACAGCTGGTGGGAATGGGAGTACAGGAGGATCTCTGGTTAAACCAGCTCTGCTCATTGGTTGGGACTCAGGAGGCCTCTGATTTAAGGTGTGCAGGACCTGAATGAGGATCTACTCCAACACACTGAGTGGAATAGAGACTTAAAACATGAGGGAACATTAGTAAATGACACAAAGCTGATCTCCAGGTAGCAACCTGTTAGTCTGACCATCAGATATGTCTGCCTGTCTGGATGAAGCTATTTGATCAGGAATCAGTCAGATCGGTTCATTCACCTGCTTTTCTTTTTCTGTCCTTCAGATAAAAAAATAGTTACTTTCTCCAGAGTGTCTAATGGAGCTTCTCTTGGTGCTGATCAGCAGCTGCTGGCTAAACTCAATAAATCTCCTCATTTCCATCTAAAAGAAGCAGATCTGAATGAATGTCAGATTATTTTTGTGTTCTGCATCATCAACACTCGCATAGAGTCAGATGTGAAGGCTGCCATGGAAAAAATCCCAGGTAATATGTGGATTTTTTAATTTATTCAGTCTCACCATCATTAATCGTTTTTTTAAATGTTATTACTGTCATCGTTGTTATCATTACTATTTGACCAGTTTTGTCAGATTAATATAAGTCAAACTTGATTATCATACAGTGCATAGTTACTGTCTTAGTTTCAATCATTCCTCAAATCAAAAGTAAAATAAAATGCTTCACATCCAACAGCTTAACTAGTTTTGAAAAACTTCTGAATAGCTTTGCAGTGTTTAAAGAATAGAATAAGAAAAATCTAATCATCCTCCCTGAGCCTTTATAGTGAATTTCTAACTTTCTTTTTCTCTGCTTTAATCTCAGAATCAGCTGGTGATAAACCTGTGATTCTTGTTGTGATGCACCACACCAGAGACATCGACTTTACAACAACAAGGAAGGAATGGAAGGATAAATATGAACGAGTTCAGCTTGATGTGGAAGTTCTCTTTCACAGGAGTGAAGGAGGCTTACTGAGATGTGAGAAGAACAAACAAGCTGTTAAACAAATGAGAAAAAAAATAAAAAAGTAGAGGAAAAATGGTGGGAAGAAGGGGAAAAAAAGAGGGACTGATAAGGGAGGAAAGGAGAAGAGGAAAGAGGAAAGCAGAGACTAGGGAGGAGTAAAGGAGAAGGGGGGACATGAGTCCAGCAGGAAGGAGGAGGTTTGATGAGCTGCTGTTATCTTCTCATTAAAAAGCTCCAACACACTGTTACCGCCTCACTGAGTATGACTGAAGGAGTTTTCAGGATCAAACTGAGTCTCTACAGATCTATGATCCGTTTCACAAAGCAAGTTTCATGAAAACTCTGTGTTCGTTCACTCAGAAATGAAAGAGCAGTGCAGTGTTGGGGAGTAACGGATTACATGTAACGACGTTACGTAATTTAATTACAAAAAAAGAGTAACTGTAATTCGTTACAGTTACAATGAGAAAATATGTAATTGAGTTACAGTTACTTCCGAAAATATTAACAATTACAAATTTAGTTACATTTTTTACAAAATATAGAGAAAAACCTTTGCAAAATATGCAACTCACTGATAGACGAAGCGTATTGATTTACTAATATTTGATTTATTAATAGTTGATGCATGACAAACGTTTATCGATGTCTATGACCTAGCCTAGCTTAGCCTAGCCTAGCCTACCTAGCCTACCCAACTGTAGTGTGACCAGACGTCCTCTTTTTCCCGGACATGTCCTACATTTCAGACTAGGGTTGTGAAAAGTATCGATACTTAAAAAAGTATAGATGCTAAAATGTTGTATTCGGATACGACTGACCTGCCGTCGCTTCGATTTATTTATGTATTTATTTACGTTGTTTATGATCATTAACAAGACGTTAGCCTTGAACTGCTAGCTGCGGCCAATAGCTAATAATAACATGCTAAAATTAATCATGGTTTAATACTCATTAAAACCTTAAAGTAATCAAAAAGTAATCAAAAGTAATTAGTTACATTACTTTTTAAAAGTAATCAAAAAAGTTACACTACATTTTAAACAAGGTAACTTGTAACTGTAACGGATTACATTTTTAAAGTAACTTACCCAACACTGTGTATAAAGTACAGAATCCTCGGAGTCAAGTAAAGTATAGGTACCTCTCTAAAATATGACTTTGGTAAAAGTCACTGACTGAAATGTTACTTGAGTTAAAGTCTTAAAGTATCTGAAATGTATTGTACCTAAGTAAAATGTAAACAAGGCAAATTAAGTTTGAATTACATTTTTTATATTTGGGTAAACTTTGAAGGTCAGATTCACTTCAAATATTATACACAATCAAGTGCAGGAGGAATTTAGACCAGGGGGTGTATACTAAAAACATGGTTGAGTGATAAACCGGGCTTTGTTAACCTACAGGAAGTGGTAAACCTGCTAATAGATACACCTGCGGGTATCATTTTGTTAAGAAAATTGGGACTGCTGTTATTAGATGCTTTACCTATACCACAAAGTAAACTTAACGTGCTTTACTACTGAACCAGCTTCTTAGTATATCCCCCAGGTTTAGACACAAAATACATGGCTTTTGTAAGCCTTCAAATTTTCCTTCAAGTAAGGTCATAAGTACATTACACCACTTAGATAAAAATGAAACAAAAAAGGATTCTACTGTTATTGCCATCACTAAACAAAAAACAAAATGGAATCTGAAGAGGCATCTGAAGAGGGAGTCCAGTTTGAAAGCCCTTTTGTAAACCTTTATAAAAAATAGTCAGTACAGAAAATGCAGCCAACATGAAGAAAAGCTGTTAGGATTACAGTACTTCACAAAATATAGGCACACACACCAGACTGAATAAAAAGAATTGGGAGGGAACTGCAGCTTATTTGGCATCTGAAGAGGGATCCCTTTTTTGTAAAACTACCTTAAAATGTAAAAAAGGCAGTGCTGAAATGAGGTGTATGTGGCAGTATGCCCTGTGGGGTCTGAACGCACCACACAAGTGCCTGACTTTAATTGGTTGTGGCGCTGTCTATATATAAAGGGTCCTCCCTCACCTGGTAGGCAACACGTTTTCCTTCCGGTTCAGACTTCACTGTTTGTTTGCGCTATACGACTGACGCGCTTAAACACTAATTGCTGATCAAGCCTTCTGGTGGTAAGAAGCTTCTTACATCCTTAATACTGTATTTGTCAGTCTGACTTTAGCTCAGATTTACCTGTAACACCTAGGTGACTTGTACAAGCTGCATGCTTCTTCTCCCTGCCAGAGGCATAACTCATCAAGCTCAGTGGTAAGCGAAAGCTCATTTTAAGTATGCTTCCAAATTCTATTTTTGACAAGTATGTTTTATAGACGCTGCTGTTTGTCCTTGGCCGGCTGCTTGCCCATGCTCGGTAGTTCCGGGTTGACGGTCCGTCCACCTGTGACCTGGTTATTCGTCGTCGGCTGACGGCTGCCTACCCGTCGCCCTGGTTGTTGGCTTTATGCGCGCTGTCCTGGTCGGCGTAAGCTGGCTCTTGTCCTTCGTCCAGTGTGACTGATTCAGGCTGGTTTGCAACCAGCTCGTCCTGATCCTTCTAGTGCCGCTCCGGGCGGCGTTTGCTGTGGCGCGGCTGTTCGTCTCAGGACGGACTCCTGACTTGGACTGCAACTGCTTGATTCGTGTTGACTGAACTGTATGACTGTGAAATATATGTAATTTGAATGTCTCTTTTATTTTGACAGGAACGGCCAGCCCGTGGTGTTGGTGGACTTTCCGGGTGGTGGTACTTTCTTTGGTTTGTGCACGATTTTCTTTTATTTTGTTTGCCGTGTTTCCTTTGTAGGTCACTGCCAGCTTCGAGTTGAGCCGTAGATGTCATTTTAATGTGTGAGTGATTTTAAATTAATATATTTATGACTAAAAAAATGAAAATAAATAAACTGATTGGATTGAGTGGAATTGTCTCGTGCCTCATATGTAGCGGGCCTGTGTGCCTTAAAGGTAACTTTACAGTATTATTAAATTAGTGATTTTGCAATTCAAGTTGCCAATCGGGAAAGCATAGGTACCGTCACATGTACATCACACCAGGTAAAAAAAGATGCTGCTGTTACAGCACTGGGCGGCACGGTGGTGTGGTGGTTAGCACCGTCGCCTCCCAGCAAGAGGGTTCTGGGTTCTCCGGCTTCCTCCCACAGTCCAAAAACCTGCATGTTAGGTTAATTGGAGATTGGGGAAATTGCCCTTAGGAGTGAGTGTGAGTGTGAGTGGTTGTTTGTCCTTGTATGTCCTGTGTGTCCCTGTGATGGACTGGGGACTGTCCAGGGGGACCCTGCCTGTTGCCCGTTGACCACTGGGATAGGCTCCAGTTCCTCCGCGACCCCATGAGGGAATAAGCAGTGTTGATAATGGATGGATGGATGGATGTTACAGCACTTCAGTGTGGCATCGTTGCAGTTGCAGTCCCTGTCTTGTCTCCGTCTGCTGCTGACTGAGACTGGTTTCGTGTTTAATGGAAGAAGCGAAACAGGTGTTTCCTATTGGTGGTGATGAACAAGCCAAGGGATATCCCCACCTTGTAGCAGTCAATCAGCAGGTGGGGTCAAAACACTTACATTTCTCTCTGTGAAAATGTATCGGACTAATAGTATGTAATTAAATTTGGAAATATAGTGAAGTTAAAAAGTAAAAGTTATCAAAAAATGTTATACTAGAGGAAGTGAAGTAGTGAAGTATTTTTACTTCGTTACTATAAAACCCTGTGAAAGAGTTTCTCCACCTCTGTGTCTGTTGGCGTAGCAACATCTACCCCAGAACTAACTTGGTCAGCAGCAGGTTTTTCCTCCATAAACTCAGTTGCCTCTGTCCCTGCCCTCTTTAAAAAACTCACATAGTTTAATTTTCCCATTCAGTCAGCAGTTACAGTATATCATAATTCTGTGGGAACAGTTAAAAAAAAAAAGATGTAAAATATGGCATGAACTTTTGTTCTTTTGACGAGTGAGTGTGTGTGGTTGTTGGTCCTTGTGTGTCTCTGTGTGTCCCTGTGATGGACTGGGGACCGTCCAGGGTGACCCCGCCTCTCCCCATTGGGTACTGGGATAGGCTCCAGTCCCCCCACGACACCATAAAGGAATAAGACCTTATGAAAATGGATGGATGGATGGAAGGATGTTGCATTTTGTTTTTTCCCATATTTATTGGATGTAGTTTTGCACATCCATCATGAGAATGTTGAACAGAAATGCTGTCCTATAACACTCTGTGAGAAGATAATAGAGGGTTTGCTCTTTCTTCTGTTCAGTTGCTAGAACAGAGCTCTTTGGGCTGCTGTCCTGCAAGTTTCAGGGTTTCTCTGCTCCAGCTGATCCACTCCATCAGAAAAAAGCTGCAGGCCGGCGGCCCAGAGAGCACCAGGTGGATGCCTGAGTTAGTTTATCCACATTAAAACATGAGCGTGTACTACTGTACTCTCTGGTACTTCTGGGAGGCTGACAGCCCTCCCCTCAATCAAGTCAGTTTTAGAGATTCTGAAGTCAAAACAAAGAGATCCTGATCAGTTAAAGAATTAAAACACACGTCAATGATAATGAGTGAAGCTTTATTAGAGACATCAGGATTAACTGTGTTACTGATACTCGCAGACGTACTGCGGTAAGCATAGCGTGTAGACTCATTTCCGTTTCAGGTGTTTGTGTGGTTGTGGCGTATTTTCTCTTCTCTCGCTAACTACCAGATAAAATTATTAGATTTCAGAAAGTTTGCCTAAGCACCAATAGTTCTTTCCATCTTTAGCGACTGATGTTCTGTCTTATAGCGGATGTAATAAAAAGTTCCGGTGGCCAACCCTACCGTACTTTTTTTTAGCCGTTAGCGACTTTCACAGCTAGCGATGGCTTCTCCCTCTTGCTCTCCTGCTTTCTCTTGCTCGGTGTGTCTAATGTTCAATTACTCCTCTGCCTCCTTTAATGGTAGTGGTATGTGTAACAAGTGTAGTTTATTTCTAGACATGGCGGTGAGGCTCAGTGAGTTAGAAGCTCGGCTCCGCGCTGTAGTAGATCAGCCCTTACCTAGTGTAGCTAAGTGTAGTCAGGTAGTCGGTGCAGACCAACATGACTTGGCAGATGAGGTGGTCTTTGTGGATCACTGGCAGTCTTTCTGGGGAAGACGTGGCCTGATTCGGAGAGACGGCATCCATCCCACTGGGGAGGGAGCCGCTCT